CCAGCCACTCCATGGAAGGAAGGCTGGGCAATCTACCCAAGGAGGGGTCGCTATGAGTTGGAACCGACTCAATGGCACTGAGTTTTTTGTTGTTGTTGAGTTACCAGGCAATGTGCAAAATGGCCTAAGTGGTACAATAAGGACGGCTGGCGCTGTTGACTAGTGGCCTAAATGGCAGTCTCCAGGCGGGACAATGGATTGCTGTCACGATTGACCACGATTTCTAACTCGAAGGCAGGGGAATGGGAGGTATCGTCATTTCCTTGAAAATTCAAAGTCCCTTCATCGCCTGGTTATCGCACACTCTTATGTATCAGTATATTGCCTTTCTTTGACCTTTTCTCTGTGAGCACCTAGTGCTGGTTGCAAATGGAACAGAAGGGACTCTACTGTTCACCCTGGGTGAGCAGCTGCCACCCTGCCTTTCTTCGCTAAGGACACTTCCGTTTACTTTGGGGAACTGCCACTCCCCACTTCCTCCTGCACTCAGCTGTAGGTGAGTTACTCAGACCCAGACAATCCCAGGCTTTCCTCTTGGATCCTGAGCGGCCAGTGGCCTCGCCCCACCCCCACTGCCTTGGGGAGCCCACAAAGACAAGAAAATCCAAGAGACGGGGGATCCTGACAACACTGACTGTGACTCTGGCTCCAGCTGCGCCCATGGCCGTCTGTCCTTATCATCTAGCCCACTTACATGACCTTTCTGTGACATTTCCTTTCTGGCGTAAGGTAGACTGAGCTGTTGTTTTGTGTCACTTGCAACCGAAAGTACCCTGGCCAATGCAGGGACAAATAGCATGGTATAGCGGGCTTGCTCACAGGAGGCCAGGACTTGAGCCCTGGTCGTGTCACCAGCTGGGACTTTGAGCCACATCCTCTTGCAGGTCGGCTTCATCGTCGAGAGAAGGACAGTGAGGGCCACACAGTCCACAGGTACAGCCAGACCACGATCCCAGACCAGGTTCCACTCTAGCTGGCACTCCAAAAAGAAGGGCGTGTCTCGGAGCCTGTCGTGATGACAGAACTGAGAAGAGAGGCTGTGCCTGCCTTCCGCCTCCCCCCTGCCTACCCTGCGTGCTCTCCCTCCGCACTCCTGCCTTCAACAACCACTCACAGGCTGTGGCCTCCCAGCTCTGTTCCTCCATCCTGCACCCTCCTTATGTTGATGCCAGTGTTCCTTCGAGACGTCTCCTCTAGTCTGGGTCAGGGACACCCTGTCTAAGCAGTCTGTGACAACTCACCCTCTCTAACCTGCAGCAGCCGCCACTCAGCCTCACAACGTGCTTTCCTCCCGTGTTTCCTACCTCAGGGAAAAACTCAGCCGACTACCCAGCCACCCACCACTTCACCCTCACATCTGAATGGTCCCCAAGTTGTGCCACTTTTACCTGCTAAGTGTACTGAGAAGCCCCCTTTCCTATTCCTGCTGGGTCTTCCTCTGGCCTTGTTAGTTGAAGCACCATCTATAGACGAGTAAAGGAGCTCTGGTGGCGTAGTGTCTAAGGCATCTGACTGCTAACCGGAAGGTTGGAGGTTCAAACCCCCAGCCACTCCATGGAAGCAAGACTGGGTAATCTACTTCCATAAAGATTTACTGCCTCAGAAACCCAATGGGGTCCACTGTGAGTTAGAATCGACTTGATGGCACTGGGTTTGTTTTGTGTTACAGATGAGTGTTCTGGTTCCCTAGTGCTGCTCTGATAGGAATATACCACAAATGGGATGGCCTTAACAAACAGGAGTTTATTCTCTTACAGTTCAGGAGGCTTTAAGTCCAAGTTCAAAGTGTCAGGCTCTAGGGGCTGGGTGAAAGACCCTCAAACTTGGGGTCCAGCTCTGCCTCCAGCTCCCAGCCCACTGGAGCTAGAGGCGTTTCTTCACTCAGACAGCTGCTGGCTACTGAGGCCGAGAAGCCCAAGGTTGACAAGTAAAAGGGCACAGTCCCGATGTTTCTAAACCACACAGCAGGCCATTAACTTAAGTCCATTGTAAGTCTCACGGTCGGCAGAGCAAAGCAGGCTGCTGAGCAATGACACGACTACATTCAGGGTCCAAGCGTGCCATAGGCTAGAGACCATTCCCAAAGCTTCTCCTTATACACAGGAAGCAGACCACATCCCAAAGGCAGCTACTCAGCTGCTCGTGGTAGATTCCACCATGGAGTTGACTGTCATTCTCATCATGGGGAATAACTACCACCAGCTGCCCAGCCACTCAACCAGGCCCCGCCAAGTTGACGCACAAACATAACTACCACAGACGAGTGACTCCCAAGTTTAGATCTCCAGCCCAGACAACTCCAGTCTCATATAAAGCAACGGCCTCTTTGACATCTGCTCTTAGATGTATAATTGGCACCTTGTCATTGACCTGTCTAGAGCTGGGAACCTGCCATTTCCTAAACTTACTCCCCTTATAGTCTCCTCCATCTCAGCAACAACATTTCTCCATGTGCCAAATTCCTTGCAACCCCCATGGGTCTTCTTCTTCCAAAGCCATAGGAAACCATACTGGCTGGACCCTGCAGCTATGACCACTCTCCGGCCCCCAGCTCCATCCTCTGATCTGAGCGGCCACTGTCTCACTTGGAGTCTGGCAATAGCCTACCTGCTAGTCTTCCTGGTTCCACCCCTTCCCCTTTAGGTGTAGGGGCCACATAGAAGCCAGAGCGATCTTCCTGAAATCTATGCCACATGACATCACTCTTGTGCTCCAAGGTCCCTAGTGGCTCCCATGCCACCAAGACTTCAAAGCCTCTCCATCATCTGCCCCTCAGACATCTCTGACCCACCTCACTCCCTATTGTTCTCTCCCTAACTGCCTCCATACCAGTGACACTGGTCTCCTTGCTGATCCTTGAACACTTGGCTCACACTTCCACCCCAGGGCCTCTGCCTAGAATGCTACTGCCCCAGATAACTGCATGGCTGGATCCCTCATCAATTTCTGGTCTTTACTCAAATGTCACCTTTGTCACTGAGGCTTTCCCTGACCATCCTACCTAAAATTCAAACTACGTTGTGAAGTACATCCCCTCAACGCTTCTTATCCCCTTCCCAGCTATCCCCACCTAGCACAGTACACGTGTCCCTTGTTCACTGTCTCTCTCCATGCCACCACATGGATGCTCCACAAGGGCAGAGATGGGTATGCGTGTTCACTGCTGTGTCCTCAGGCCCAACACAGGGCCTAGCACAGCACAGGCACTCAGTCCCAGAATAAAGGACTGAACGCCCAAGCATTGCAATGACCGACTAACTGGGCCCCCTGCCTCCAGGTCATTTGTCTCAGTACTGCCACGGTTCTCAATGGTGTGTAAGAACCAAGAGGCCGCCCAACTGAAATCCTTTTGTGGGTCCCCACAGCTAAGGTGGGCATGCAATGTCTTATCCAAACCAGCGTACTATTGTGAGTTGGAGGAGGATGTAATTAACAATGACGCTGCCCCATGGGTAACCCAGGGCCATTCTGAGCAGCACATATCATGTGGGCCACCTACTTATGGTTAAGGTAGTTGTTCAAAATGCAGAATTCCAGGTTCTACCCCACAAGTAGACTGATGAGATCTGGGGTGGGGCCTAAGAACCTGCATTTGAATCAACCATTTGCAGTGACTTGGATGCAGATTAACACACAATCGCACAAACCTGTTGCTGTGGAGTAGATTCCAACTCCTAGTGACCCTATAAGACAAAGGATAACTACCCTAGACGGTTTCCAAGGCTGTCATCTTTACCCAGGCAAAGCCCAAACCAAACTCACTGCAGTAGAATCCATTCTGACTCCTCAGTGCCTGTAGAGGACAGAGGGGAACTGACCCAGAGAGTTTCCAAGGCTGTCAATCTCGACCGAAATTGACTGTCACATCTTTCTTCTG